CTTATATCATAATGGGGAAATTGATCATGTCACACATAGCATCTCCTATTTGTCAAGCACTATTTTAAGGACTTTGAAATCAATAAATCCCCGTAATAATCTGATGAAGTAAACGCTGTGATCATCCATTTAAAACCAAAGCACCAATAAATTGAATAATTTGCAACCTGCCTAAGTCTCAGAATTGATATTAGTAAAGTCAGAATTTAAGTCATTGTTCTATCTAAGAATCCATATTTCAAAATATCATGCAATGCTTAAGATTTTTTCTGAGCCCATCTACTGTCAGGTATTACTCTTTGTTGTAGTTTGAATATAAACTGTCTACCATTAGCTTACCTATTTGAACACATGGTTCCTAGCTAGTAACACTGTTAAGAAGGGTTGTGGAACCTTCAGGAAGTGGAGCCTTACTAGAGAAAGTGGGTGACTGGGGGCTGGTGTTGAGGCTGTATAGCTTCAACCTACTTCCTATTCACTGTCTGTTTCCTGACTGTAAATGTAATGTGACCAGCCTGCCTCCTGCTCAGGCAACCATGCTTTCCCTGCTTGAAGCCATGTCTTCCTGGCCATAGTGGATTGTAGCCCTCATAACTATGAGTCAAGATGAACCCTTTTTTTCTTAAGTTTCTTTTGTCAGGGTATTTTACCACAGCAACAGGAAAAAAAAAAAAAAAAAAAAAAAAAAACTAAGCTATCCTTTATCTCCTATTGATTTTAACATGTTAGTGTACCTTAGAATATTTCAAAAGGTGAGCACAAAATGTTTTATCAAAACATCTTAGACAAAAAATGTGAGACTTTTTCTCATCTTAAGGGATTTTCATGTAATGTATATTTAAAATTAGAATTCTTGGCTCATTTTTTTAAAGTTTCCTAGGAAGAAGTTTTAAGAAATTGTGCACAATGGTTTGTCTTTGTTCTGACCTTTGTTAACATTATGCTGATATTTTATGAGAATTCTACATGACATATTACCAGAAGATGTAAAACTATATTCACTTTATCACTCTTCATGCAGAAAACTTTGTAACAACTTCTAAGGACACACACTAGTTTTGGAAGACACATGGATAATGGGAGAGACAAGCAGTATCGTGTAAAGTAGTTGAAGAAGAAACCTCTAAAATTGCATTTTTGAATTCTAGTGGTGTTGATATATTGTTTCTTTTTCATGACTTCTTTTCTTTAGTTTCCAAATCATAAAGAAAGCAACATTAAAGTTGTGGAGAAAGCTTAGTCAGTAAAGTGCTTGACCTAAAAGCATGAGGACCTGAACCTGAGCCCAAGTGGAAAAAAAAAAAGTTAAGCATATTAGTGAGCGTTTGTAATTTCAGTGCTAGGGAGGGAGACACAGGCCAATACCTGGGACTTGATGACCAGCCAACCCAGTTTACTAGGCTACCTCTAGGTCAGTGAAAGACCATGTCTCAAAAATAAATAAAAGTGGATGGCACTTGAGGTTTGACACCCAAGGTTGTCCTCTGCTCTCCACACAGGTGCACACACATCTGTACACTCCATGTGCACCTGTAGATACACATTCACATACATGCTCATAGGTACATAAACACATACAGAAGAACACTGACTAAATTAAAATGTATAAACACATATTAAGCCATGTTATTATACATAATGATATCTGCAAAAACAACATTCACATATATATAAAGGGGCAATAGCGAAAAAGAGGGTTCTAGTAATTAATGCATTAACTAATTTCTCTCCATAAAAATCAACATGTATATAAGTACTGGAAAGATAAACACACACCAAGAAAATGACTGGGTTATTAAATCTTGTAGATAAGTATAGAATTATGCAGCAATTTATAATTAATGGTTGTGGATAAATTAAAATCCTAGAGACGTTTGCACTCAAGAGTGAATAAAGTTGAAAAATAATGAGAAATATGTGTTTCTAGAAGTGTCCTTTTTAGAATCCTGTTTTAAAATTGTGACTTTTAATTTCTTTCAATATATTAGAGTAATATCTGCATAAACATGGATAAGATCCATTGACTATTATTTAAAGGTCTTTTTTCACCCAGATTTTCTAGCATCCTTCGTTACGAGGCTCCAGTCTGTTCTATGCTTTTCGGTGGTTTCCTGCTGTGGCTTTGTGTGTCCTTTATTCTTTATTGGAATAGCATTCCAATTCTGCTTTTGAAAAAATGTGTGTGTGTGTGTGTGTATGCCCACAGAGGCCAGAAGAGGGCATCAAGCCCCTTGGAGCCCTGGGAATGTAACTCTGGTCCTTTGCAAGAGTAGCAAGCTCTCTTAACTAAAGCATTTCTTCAGTTCTGCATTCCATTCTAATTTTGAAGTGCTTCTGTTTCACCAACATGACCTTACTGTTCACATGTTTCAGAGGAGGGCTCTTCCTGTTTCAAGGTATGTGGCTTAGGCAAGACTAGTTAATTGAATGCATTATTCTGGATAGAGTGGTCACTTCAGGACTGCATGTGACCCAACTGCAACTGGAGGCAGTGAGAGACAATAAGAGAGGGGAGGAGATGCTGATGTTGTTGTTATTGTTATTTTTCTATTATTCTGAAGTTAGAGAGATTGACCCATTGGATCTTTTAAAGGATCTTATTACAGAAGAATATCTACAAAGTACCTCTCACTATGGAACTTAGAGCAAAGGGGTAGAACATAATTTTGTATTGGTAATATCAGCTGAAGTCTGAAATCATCATATGCTTAAAGTTAGCCCTAGACAATAAACAAATTCCTTTCTCTTTATTTCCTTTTTGCTTCAACCAGTTTGAGTCATTCTCTCTCTTAAATTTGGAAGATGGCTATTCGAGTGAGTAAAATACTGTTTCTGGCTAGCTCTTCCCCTTGCACATTTCCTACAAGTACATTCTCAAATGAAAATGATAAAGCTAGAAAATGTGCAAATATATAGATTTAATAGTTAAAACCTATACGCATAACTTTTTTCATTGCTGTGACAAAATACCTGACTTAAGAAGGCATACAGTCCATCATGAAGGGGAAGGCATATCACAGGAGCATGAGGCAGTTGGCCATGCGGTATTCAGTCAGAAGTGGAGAAAGCTGGTACTCAGTTGGCTTTTTCTTCTTTTCCTTTTTATTCAGCCAGGACTCTACCCCCTGGGATAATGCCTCCCATAACAGATGGTCTTCTCTCCACTTAAACTTCTCTAGACATGGCCAGAGATGTGTCTCCTAGGGGATTCCAAATGCAGTCGTGTTGACCATGAAGACAAATTTGCACCTCTGCTTGATTTTTACTTTGTTATTTTAAGCTTACGTTGCATGAGTGTTTCTTTTCATGACTATGTAAAAGTCACAGATCTTTGTCATCAGACTTTGAGTACTGCTTATGACTACAGGAGACATTCCCTAATCCCAATGTATCTTCTTTCTTCTCTTCACATATGAGTCAGGAAAGTGTTATTTGATAGTTATGGAGAGAAAATGATGACTCAGTGCATGCAGACATCTAGCCTAGTGATTACCACTTAGTAGGTCCTCCAATCTTAACTCTGTAATTAGATGGAAAATTGCAGTTAGGATCTCAATTTCCTGTCATGATTTTTCTTGTTTTTCTGGTAGCTTTTCTATTTTTTTATTGTTTGTGTGTGTGTGTGTGTGTGTGTGTGTGTGTGTTTCCTGAATAGATTTAGCTGTCAATTTGACACAACTGGGAAGAAGGAACCTCAATTAGGGGTTGCTTCTACTGGATTGGTCTTGTGGCCATGTGTGTGGGGCATTTTCTTGATTACTGAGTGATGTGGGAGGGCCTAGCCCACTGTGGGAAGTACGATCCCTGGGCAGGTGGTCTTGTGTTGTATAATAAAGCAGGCTGAGCATAGGCCAGAGGAACAAGTCAGTAAGCAGTGTTCCTCCATGGTCTGTGCTTCAGTTCCTGCCTCTAGGTTCCTGCCTTGACTTCCTTCAATGATAGACTGTGAGCTGTAAGCCAAATAAGCCCTTTCCTCTCCAAATTTGTTTTCATCAGTGTTTTATCACAGCAACAGAAAAGTAATCGTGTGTATTTGTGTGTGTGTGTGTGTGTGTGTGTGTCTAGAGAGGTTGGCACTGGGTATCTTCCTGGACTATTCTCCACTCTATTTACTGAGGCAGGGTGTCTAGGCTGAACCTGGAGCTAACCAGTTTGGCTATTGTAGCCAGCCATCTTGTGCTAGAAATCCCCTTGTCTCTACCTCCCAAGCACTGGGATTACAGGTAGACTGCAATGCCTGCCCAGATTTTGTGTGTGTGCTGTGGATCCAAACAGTGGTTTTCCCTTTCCTCACGCTTGTGTGCAGAGTGCTTTATTGCTGAGTCATCTACCCAGCCCCTCTAGCTGCTTTTGTTTTCAATGACCTAAGTTGCAGAAAAAATAAGATTTGTGCATTATCAGTTTAATTTTTTTCCCCTAGGAAAAGTTAGCTTACATGGCTCTAAAGCTGTCTCTTTGTAGAATCATAAAATAACTTAGTGGATTCCAGATATTCTGGAACTGATAGTAATTTAAATTGAGCTACTGTAATATTCCCACTAATATAATCAAATTTCACTAATTTAGTCAGTAATCCACTATGCAGATTTTAATTTTTTAACCCTCAACTATTTGCTTATTTTTACTTTTAACTTGAATTAATTTTTGTTGATTAAATGACTCTCTGGCTTAACAAATAAAAGGAGAGAATAGGAGCATTGCCAGTTAGTAGATAGATCACTGCGGTCTGCAGTCTCTAGGCTTAGTTCTAAGACAGCCTGCAGACTCTGAACTCTGGGACTGAAAGCTTTGGGCTGCTACCCTGTGCTCCTCAGGAAAGGGTTTTCCTTCTCAGTTCCCAGCCCTCTAGTGGCAGTTCTTAAAATGTCACTTTGTAGTCCCCGCACAGGAAATGCCGGCTTTACTTCAATTACCAGAATCCTTTTACAGGAAGTTAGGTGTGGTCTTTAAAGGAGAATTTGAAGGAAAAAAAAAAAAAAAAATTTTTTTTTTTTTTAAAGCATGATGGAATTTTAGCTGCAGTCTTCTTGGTTCCAGCTTATCAGCCCAAAACTCTGAATAAAAAAGCTTCTGCAGGGGTAATGTGTTCCTGTTCTTACTATGCTTGCTGTCTGGGAGGCTGCTCTACATTTGCAGTAGAACCCTTGGGGACATCTGCAGGGGGACCACTCTCATTTTGAAGCTGTTGGCTGCATGTGTTAGCATGTCTCTTCTCTTAGAGCACCAGGCATGGCACGACAGCTTCCTCCCTGGAATGTGTGCGCATCCTCCTTATGCCTGTGACTGCCGATAGGCATGAGAGCCCCTGGGGAAGGGTGAGGAGAATGAGGGATGCTTTGGAGGTCCTGTGGTGCCGACAGGGAAATCTGACAGCTGGTGGCTGAAAGGTTCTGGTCAACTTCAAAAAAAAAATATTTTTTTTAAATGAAAACTATGCAGCAGCTTACGCTTTCTTGGATTTCCTTCTGTTTTATGAGGTGCATGCTGCAGAAATGAATTGGCAGCCGGTTTTACCCTTAGAAAATGCATCTCATGCATTTCAATGGCAACTTGTTTCTATACTGTGGAGGTTGAAATGAATTGATCTTTTTTTTCAATCAAGAAAGGAAAAAAATAGATGAAGTGATTATTGAACAGATGGGATCCGGGGATCAAGTTTTCTGTTGTATTGCTTAAGGGGTGTAAAAACTCCTGTATCTGGCTCAGAGATCACATTTGCAATCACATTTGCCAAGTTATCTACTTCAATAAAATGTGATCTGAACACCAGTTCAAGTCCACTTATGTCATTACAAAAACCCATATTATGGGGACTTGCTTAAAAGAAAAACTGTGTTAGACATTATTTTTTAAAGTCCAATTTCTGGAATGGATATTTGGAGAACTCTTGCTAGGTTTTTGTAAAATTGAACTTATCTGAAAACATGGGCTGTTGCTATGGTGGTTCCTCAGGTGTGGCAAATTTGTTCTTTTCAGAAGCAATTACACATTAGTCTGCAGCAGGTTGCTAAGCCCAGGGGCCCGGCTGCAGACCTCTGGCATGAATGACTTCCTGCCTGCCTTGGCAGGTCCCTTCCTGTGCTGCTCCCCAGCAATTCCAAATAGGGTCCGGCACCTCCTGCTCCTCCTCATTCCCTTGCTCTCTACCTGTTTCCACAGTCTGGCCTTTCAGGATTCCCAGAGCTCTTTCCCAGATGAAATGCTTTTGAATAAACTTTTAAAGGTGAGACTGGGCCAAAGGAAAAACAGAGAAAGAAATGGAGAGATACGAGCAAGATCTTCACACAGCCCCGGTTCTACATTTGTATATGCTTTTCTGCCGCTTGTTTTGGATCTGATACATTTTCAGAAAGAATGCTGGAAGAAAAATGGCTGCCAAAATATTCACACAAGTAAAACAGCAAGCACACACTAGTATCCTCCATTTCAAGCTCTGAACTGGGTGTTTTCCCCCAAGTAGCACAATCACTTAAAACATTTCGGGAGTGGAAGACAAGATTACCTCATATGCACCTAGTGAATGTGAGAGAAAGCTCTCCATGCAGGCTGATGAATGCATACTTGAGATTTCCGAGTGCTCGGTGCAGCTTTCTTTGTAAAGTACTCGAGCTCTCTTGCTTTATATACTTTATATCAGTGCTAGAATTGCCACCATCACCTTTTATCTTAATGGTCATTGCTTTTTCCCCTCCTGTTTCTGTAGCACTTTCTTATTCGAGGAGCTAAACAGTGATTAAAGAAGCAGGATGAAAAGATGGCACAGTCAGTGCTGGTACCGCCAGGACCTGACAGCTTCCGCTTCTTTACCAGGGAATCCCTTGCTGCTATTGAACAACGCATTGCAGAAGAGAAAGCTAAGAGACCCAAGCAGGAGCGCAAGGACGAAGATGATGAAAATGGCCCAAAGCCAAATAGTGACTTGGAAGCAGGAAAATCCCTTCCTTTTATTTATGGTGACATTCCTCCAGAGATGGTATCAGAGCCCCTGGAGGACCTGGACCCCTACTATATCAATAAGAAAGTGAGTTCTTAGTCCAATTGCCTTTATTTCACCCTATTGTGTTAAGGTGGTAAAGAGCGTACCTCCTTCCATCTCTTAAAACTCACTAGGATGCTGGGTGGGTCCCATCAAGTAATGGACCAATTATTCTAGAAGTCTCTTGCAAGCACTCATTTGAACCGGCGGTGTTCTTGGGACAGGCAGAACACCAAAGAAACGCAGCAATGGGGCAAGCATCAAAGATGAAAGTTGATTCACTTTTCTGAATACTAATTATGTCATAAATTAAATGCAAATTGACCCTGGTTCTCCTGCAATGTGATGAAACCGAGAGTAGAAAGTCACAATATATTACTTTTTAATATTTGTAAGAGTGGTATCTAAATTTCCCCTGCTACCTCTAGCTTGATCAAAGGCGTTGTGTCCTTAGCAGGTTTAAGTAAGCCCTCACACCACAGTCTCCTTTCCAGGGCTCTCCCCAGAAGAAATAACACCAAGCCAAGTGTAAATGCCAAAAACATTTGGAAAATCCTAAAGTTTTCATGAGAAAATTACCTAAAGGAAGAAGTAAATGAAGCCTCATTTTTGTGCTTTGTGAGAATTATAGACATAGTTTGAAAATATAGGTGCTAAAATTAGCACAGATTCTAGTGATTCTTATGGTACTAATCACAAATTTTTCTTTGTATTCCTTACCTCCTCAGATCACTTCTCAAATGTAGAAGTGTTAACAGTGCTAAGAAAGACAAAGTTCTCTTGCCCTGTCATGTGTTATTAATTGCTATGTTAGTTATTATTTTAGAGGGCGATATTTCTCACTAGAGTTTACTGATCTCTTAAAGTGTCCTGGATGTATTTTGTAAACTCTGTTTCATGTGTTGTGTTTTCTTTTTCAGACTTTTATAGTATTGAATAAAGGGAAAGCAATCTCTCGGTTCAGTGCGACCTCTGCCCTGTATATTTTAACTCCCTTCAACCCTATTAGAAAATTAGCTATTAAGATTTTGGTACATTCATATCCTTTTAGTAAAAATTGTTTAAGAACTTTTTTTCTTTGACTTAATTCTAAAGCTGAGCCATTTCAAAATACGTGTGATTGGCAATGTTATTTGTTATCCTTCCTCTTCCTCAAAAGTCAGCCTGCCACAAGATGGGACAACAGGTAAGTGACGCGGTTTTCCGTCTTCTAAGTATTTTTCTTCTTTCTGACGCCTTTCTTTTTACCTCTGTTCCCTTCTGAATCACCTGCTACCTTAAAGGCTTTGTTAATTTTAATTAGATTTACATGGTCTTTTTCATGCCTTCAGGTTTTATGGTGCTACATATTGGAACAATATCCATGTATTGGTTTTCCTTAATGGTATTATATTTGGAATATATGTACATTATTTGGAATATATGTGTGTATATGTAATCTTTACCATACATTTTATGTCTTCTTGGTTTGAATTGTTCAGATTTCTGCTTTTTATATTAGTGCTTGTAAACTTTGAGTTCATGAATGCTAACAAAGAGTACTGTATATACATTTGCCTTTCCAACACTTTCCAAGCTCTTTTCCCAATAGCATTCACTCCTCTTTCGGTTACTTGTTCCAAAGGTTGAATGCCTGACTGTCCACATACACTTTGGTTGTATATTCCTTATTCTCCTTATTGAAGTATCTGATTCCTAGAAATGGGACTTGCAGCCTTGATGAGAAACAGTGATTTGATTTAATCCTTGAAGTTGAACATAGTAGTTGGAATGAGAGGTTTTATTCTAGGCCAAAAGCAGTAGTCTGGCTGAGAGCCAGTCCTGGAAAGTCGAGGAAGCAGACGTAGAAGGCAAGAGCCGTACTGGGCAGAGGCACTTAGAAAAGAACATGGAAACTTTGAGATGAGTGTTGGATGCTTCAGGGACCCGAAACAAAGTGGAAGAAACTGAAATCTAGCCGTCTCTAATAAGAGAATCAGTTTTGTTTTAATTTTTGCTACATTTATTTACTCGTGTGTGTGTGTGTGTGTGTGTGTGTGTGTGTGTGTGTGCACATGCCATGGCACACATGTGGAAGTCAGAGACAATGTGTGAGAATCTGTTTTCTCCTTCCATCATGTGAACCCTGAGGATCAGATTCAGGTTGTGTCTTGGTGATAAGTGTATTTACCCACTGACCTACCTCACCAGCTCAAAATTTTACTTATTTGTGTGCATGTATGTATGGGCGGGCACGTGCCATCATGCATGGGGGTGGGCAGAGGACAACTTTGTGAATTCACTTCCTATCTTCCACCATTATGTGTGTTTCAGAGATCTAACTCAGGTTGCCATTCATGCAACCCACTGAGCCATCTCACTGGTCCTTGACAGGACAACTATTAGTGCTCGTTTTTTTTCTCTAGAGAGAGTCATAGCTTGAAATTCTGTGACATTGTCAACCCAGGGCTGATTTTGAGGCTTAAAGCATTAAAAACTCACTACAACAGTAGATACAGAAAATACTTTGAATTAGATGAGTCAGAGATGGGATAGGCCTGGGACAGGGTGCCTGTCTCAATCAGGAGGGTTATAAAACATGCCCCTGTGGTTTGCTTGGCAATATGTATTAGTCACTATGTTTAGAAGCATGGCATTCTGAATGTCCACCTTCTTTATTCATACCTCTGGTGGATTATTCCTCCCATCTTCTGTACAGATATATATATATGCAGCATATTTGCATTTGATCTTTATATTTGAATTTTTAAAATTTACTGTGCATTGCTTTCAGGTAGCAATAATATTTCCTTTTATCTGCTTTTCCAGTTAGAGAACTCAGTTATATATGAAAAGTCTTTGAGTTAGTATGAGAAATGAATGGTAAAGTTAGGCTCTCTACTTTGGTTTCAAAATTTAAAATGATGCTCTGTTACGTCTCAGACATAGATCTATGCGCTGCACAAATGCCACCAAAATTATTCATTATATTTAAAAATAACTATATTTCACTGATGTAAACATAATTTATGTATGAAATTGTGTGAAAAATGGATACATAGCCCAGTGACCCATTCATATAGTAGACAATGGGAGAATATGCATTAGAGAAATACATGACTATAAAGTTGAAGTTAGGAAATTCAATTAAAAACAAGTAAAAAAGAGGAACTGAATGGATAATAAAATTAATTTTGTCCTCTGTCTGAGGAAATGGAACTAAGAAGTCCCAGGTCAAAGAAGGAGGTCACCTTTTATTTTAAAATGCAGGGAGATTATATCTTTTGTAGGCTATATCATACAAGCTATCATCCTCACTCCAGAAAAGTCCTAGGAAGTTAGGAGTCCCAGTTGAAGGCCCATGGAAGACACTCACACTGTAGAAGGCAATGGTAGTTTTAGAAGTTTGGATCAGAAAATCTGGGCCTTCAGGACATTGTCTCTATTAGGAATTCTCTGGAAATTCCAATAGTACCTGAGTTTGTAGAATTGTCAAAGGCGCACAGTTGTAATAAGGCCTGCAGGCATTTAAGTTCAAGTGGGCAGCAAGTGAGTAAATCTCCTAAGGGGCTAGGATGAACTCATTTTTTAATTAAAGTTTTTGTATTTATTTATTTATTTATTTATTTATTTGTGTGTATGTATGTCGATACACATATGTGTGGAGATCAGCAGACAGTTTTAAGAAGTCAGTTCTCTTCTCCCACCATGCAGATTCTAGGGATTGAATTCAGGTTGTCAGGCTTGGTAGCAGGAGCCTTTACCTGCTGAAACATCTTGCCAGCCCCAGGACTAACTCTTGGGTCTCTTAGAGCCTTACAAATGATGCATGACCACAAATTTCTTCCAGTGAAGGAAATTCAAATCTTTTAATCTCTAATTTCCTGAATTAAAATAGTATATTTCAAATTTCTCATCTTGGAGTAGAAATATAAGAAAAATAAAGGCAAGTGGGCCAATACTAAGCATAGATAAGGCCTTCAGTCTTTGGATAATGTTTGAACGACTGAGCAGAAGTTCTCATAAATAGATGTATTTAGCACTGAAGTTTGGAACTGGTTTTCACAATGACTTTGCGCAAACTCTAGATTCAAATCTTGGTTCTATGATATCTACTGCAGTGTCTTTGCTGTGAATTAAAATGCATGGAAATGGCCAAAAAACTATAATGGAGAGACTGAGAGTGACAAAGTGCCATCAAATTTAGATGTATTTTTCGGAATGATTGACAGAGTTTCTTGAGCAACTGAATGTAGGCTGTAATGGACTGAGGGAGGCTAAAGACGGTGCTAAGTATTTAGTCTGGAACAGCTCCAAGCATGATAACCTCGTAAACTTTTTTAAAGTGTTTGTTTTGCAGCATCATGAACATCATGTTTGAGGAGCCTGTTAAACATTAGGGGAGGAATTTTTTTTCAAATCTATTTTTTATTGATATTTTTGTGCGTGTATTTCATACAGAACACCCCAAACAATCTTATTCATCTTTATACCCACATCCTAAATAGCACCCTCCCATAACCACCCCCTCAACTGGAGCCCATATACCCTGTCATTCCTATTACTGTCCACTGTGTTGTCGGTGGCCCCAGCCATTCCCCAGTGCTTGTCCATCTGCTGAATCTAGTCAGCCTATCTAGAGTTCCTTGTTTTTGGAAGATCAGCTCTTCCTCTTCTAGCAGCAATTTGTTGTCAGTACTCCTTTAGATAAGATTGAGGTCTCCTTTTCATTTTCCCAGTTTTGTGTTGGGTTATTATCTTGGAGTCTCTTGGACCACCCTAGCCAACAACTTAAGGAAGGTATCTCCTGTCTGGCATTGTTTCTTGTTATGTAGCCTTTAGCTATATACATGGACTCTTAAAGAAATATACGAATCGCTTTAATCTTTGGTTATACTTTCCTTTTGGTTGTTTAAGACCATACAGTCAGCCCAAATAAACGAATTTATTTTTACTCTTAAGGTCATTTAAGGATCTGTTCCTCGGGGGTCACATGGGTTTGAGAGGAGCCCCTGGCTCATTTCTTTTACCAGTTCCATCTTTGTGAAGATGTCAAAGGTCCTACTCGACCATGCCTGACTTGACTTGGAAGCATGGAGGAAATGTTTCCTCTGAGATGACTCTCCTTTTTGTAGACTGGACACTGGTTCAAGTCCATCTAGTGTGGTCTCCATGGCCTGCCTGAACAAGAGGACAGGTGACCTACCACAGTTTCAGGACATTTTGAGAGATGCTCCATAGTTCCCTGGAACTTAATCAACCTTGGAGGGCAAGAAGCAAAAACTGTGTTTTAAGTCCCTCTGACCAGATTAGTATAGGCCACAAAGTATGGCTGTTAGACGTCCGAGAAGGTTAGTTTCACCATCTGGTACTTATAATTACCATGTACTATGTAGATAAAGCTTGGGAAAAAGACAAACATTTTCAGATAAACCTTGACTAGATATATATTTTGTTCCTTGAACTAGTCATATGTATAATTTGTCAGTAGGTTGTTGGACTAATATGGTTCCCTCTGGTTTTTTAAAACTAGCTAGGCATTATGTATCGCTCTCACTGTCTAACCCTTCCACCATAATTTCCCCATTTAAAGTGTCCTCATTTTCCCCATTTCTCCCTTAATAATACCCTTTTCCTATGGTCCCACCTCTCTTGAGCTCCTTCTTTCCCTTTATCCCCAAGGTTCCTTGTATAACCCTCCTTCCCCCTCCCATTTAAATAATCCCATTTTTATCTATATCTCCCTTAGTAACACCTGTTTCCTACTGTTCTTCGCTCTTAGGTTCTTTCTTTTCCTTTGCCTCCCTGGTTCCTTTTCATTATTCTGGTTCATGTAGTTACGTCTGGATACATACTCACTTATAAGCATTTGGTGCTAGGATCCACATGTGAGGGGGAACATATGTCATTTGTTTTTCTGAGTCTGTGTTACTTCACTTAGTATAACAATTTCTAGATCCATCCATTTACCTGCAAATTTCGTGATTTTATCTTTCTTTTCTGCTGAGTAGAACTCCATCATATAAATGTACACATTTTAGTTATCCACTCATCAATTGA